TCCACTATCCCTCCTGTCCACTATCCCTCCTATCCACTATCCCTCCTATCCACTATCCCTCCTGTCCACTATCCATCCTATCCACTATCACTCCTATCCACTATCCCTCCTATCCACTATCACTCCTATCCACTATCCCTCCTATCCACTATCCCTCCTATCCACTATCTATCCTATCCACTATCCATCCTATCCACTATCCATCCTATCCACTATCCATCCTATCCACTATCCCTCCTATCCACTATCCCTCCTATCCACTATCCATCCTATCCACTATCCATCCTATCCACTATCTATCCTATCCACTATCCATCCTATTCCTGCTGACGAAGCCAACACTTTCAACCCACCTCTATCCATTTCTCAGGTCTCCCCAAAGGAGTCTTAGGAGAACACAGTGGACTAGGCTTCTTCCCAGATCAAAATCATTCAGCAGCTTGCCATTGCTCTTAAAAAAAAATTCACAGTATTTAAATATTAACCCGGTCCTCCCAGCAGTGGTCCCTATCTTCACTCCATCTTCAGATGCAGGTGTGTTTTCTCTGGCTCCCTGCATGATGGCAACACTGTCCTCTCACAAGCAATGGCTCTGTTTTCCTTTCTTTAGGCCCCTGTATCTTGAGTTCCTTTCCATCAGCCATTTGCCCTAAAATTAATTCAGACCATTCTTTTAACTTTTAAGATTTACTAGTATGTATGTATGTATGTATGTATGTATGTATGTATGTATGTATAATGTGAATATAATGTATATATACACATATGTGTGGTATGTCACATGTATGTGTGTCCCCAGAGTCCTGAAAAGGCATGGAATCCCCTGGAGTTAGAATTACAGACTATTGTAAACTACTACCAATGTGGGTTCTGGGAACCAAACTTGAGTCTTCTGGAAGAGCAAGCAAATACTCTTAACAATTGTGCTGTTTCCAGTCCCCCAAACCATATTTTACTCAAACCAAATCATTTTCCCCAGGAGACCTTCTGTCAACCCTAGCCTAGGCTGTGTCTTCCTGTGTTTTTTCCCCACAGCAATGCCCCCCCGCCCGAGTTCTGTTTGCTGGGACTTCCTGTAGTGCCAGACTATGGTAGGCATTCAAAATAGAAGTGTTGCTAGATCTTGCACGCCAGAAGTGGAAACACACAGCTGCACTGGACAGTCTGAGCTTCTGCTCGCTCCCTTGGTGACAGCACTGTGCTGGATCCCAGGCATAAACAGCCACTGCAGCTTTACTATTGGGCTGTCCCTGTGAGATGCTTTCTCTTTTGAACTAGATCCTGTGGACAGGCCCCAGTGGATGGTTCTTTGTTCAGTGTTGTGTGACCAACGTATTTGCCTGTTGGTACACATGCAAAGTGCACCATGGTCATAGGCTTAGTTTCTCTGATGCCTCAACCACCAGACAAGCTGTCAGGTCCCTACAGATTCTTGTGAAAGTTTTTGAAGTTACGGTTCTGTCCAACTTACAGTGAGGGGTGGGGGGTGGAGCGGGCTGGGGAATGAGACCTTTCTCAATGTTGTCGACAGCACACGGGGACCATGTGGGAAGCTCTGAGCAGTTGGACATATGTATTCTCAGAATGTTCTAAGACAAGCCTAATTCTCAGGTAACCAGCCAGGCCAGGCTTGGCGTGCACAGGGAGCTGGGAGACGGTGTACCAGATGTTTAGAGAAATAAATCTGAGGGCTTCCGAAGCAGATGGTGGTGCGTATCCTTTGCGCTTGGCCCTTTTACAAAATGAGCATCATCCATTATTTTAACTGATGTTGTAAATCCCTTTCAGTTACTCTACTTCCATGTTTTAGAACTGTGCAGAGCTGTAAGCGTCAGTCCGCTTCAGTAGTCTAAGGGGAGACACACTTCCGAAGCCTCCTGATTGGTGACTCCTAATTAAAATTCAGTTACATGTGGGTTTTATGCTGTTGTTCTAAATCAGGCAGTGGAGGTATGTTGGCTGTGCTTGCGGCCAGTGAAAGCATTGTCACCCTGGCTGAGTAATAGCCAAGAGTCAGGTGTCAACAGAAGGGACTCTCTGAATCTGGTCTCCCTGACTTGAGTTCCAGGAGGAGGGCCAGCTTTCTTGTCCTGTGGCTTCTCATTGAGGAAGACACCAAGAGCCCAGAAATCAGGACAGTGACATCAGTCATGACCCAGCCTCCTCTGAATGAGACAGCCCACATGTGCCCTCCTGGCAGCCACAGCTTCACCAAGTTCTGCGGATCTTTTCTTCCCTTTCCCACGGTGCCCTCATGGCTACCAGTGCAGTGGCTCCTCACCTCCCTCTGTGGGTTTCCGTCTGCCCCGATCCTTCCTCTTGAAATAGTCTTGTGTGAGAATATCTGTTGCCATCCTCTTCCAAGCATGTCCTCTGCCTCCAGCATGTGAGAACAAACAGGATCAAAGAAGAGGGACTGCTGTTGGTCCAGTCAGACCTGAAATCTCAGGGTGATCTTGAAGTTCATTCTGCCTCTGACCCTGCTCCCTTCTCCCCTGTGCAGGCAGGCAGCCATTTCAATTGTGCCTTCTGAATCATCTTTCAATCCCTCCAGTCTCTTCCTTCCTTCCTTCCTTCCTTCCTTCCTTCCTTCTTTCCTTCCTTCCTTCCTCCCTCCCTCCCTCCCTCCCTCCCTCCGTCTCTTCCTTCATTCTTTTCTTTCTTCTGTCCTTCTTTCCTTCCTCCCTCTCTCTTCCCTCCTTCCTCCCTTCCTTTCTTCTTCCCTTCCTTCTTCCCTCCCTCTTCCCTCCTTCCCTTTTCCCTCCCTCCCTCCCTCCCTCCCTTCCTCCCTCCCTCCCTCCTTCCTCAATCCCTCCTCTCTACCTCCTTCCTCTTTTCTTTTTCACTTTCCAGCTGGAGCAGTAGCATTACCTAGGCCTGAATTAACGATTGACTTCCCCACGACCTCCCCTTCTTTCTTGCCAATGGTATCTCTTTGCCCTTCCAGTTTGTTTTGCTTTTTATTGTGTATGGTTTTGTTTTCCATTCCTCCTCTTCTCTTCCCTCTTTCTCTCTTTCCCCTGGTGCTGGGAGTGAGCACAACCACTCTGATCATGAGCACAGTCAGTGGACGAGTTTGCAGTGTCCTCCTCCAGCCCCACGTTCAGCAGACCAGACAGACACTCTATCCCAGTCCGCTCACTGGAGAGCATGAGCTGGCCACTCCTGACTTCCTGGTGTCGTCGTTCTTACTGGAATGTCCTCCCTGTCTGAAACACATTGCTTCTCCATCTGCTTGCTTCTTACCCATTCTTCTGAGCTCAGCTCAGTAGTGATTGGCATTTTTCTATAATCAGCATCTATCATCTCTACACATTAGTAACGAAAGGTTTGAAGAATAATGACACTTCCCTCCTCAGACACTGTCTACGCACAAAGCCTTCATGGCCGCCGCTTCCAAGGGAGTGTCCTGTGTTCATCTCTCATGTCTGTCATCAGGAAGTATGACTGTCTTCTCAGTTTCCTGTCACCAGGGCAGAACAACAACTATGGTTTTAATTTGGGGAAGGTAACTAACTTTTGAGTCAGTTTTTCCCTTCTGCAACATTAGCACCCAGCCCAGCACTGACTAAGTACTAGATCATCAGTAAATACCAGAACAAACAGGTGACAAGTAGAAGCTGAGTCTGTTCCTAATGTGTAAAAGGGCTTGGCTGCATCAGAGAGTGGATGAGGAGACCTTAGATGTCAGGCAGGTGGTCGCAGGTAACCATCATGGCAGGACACAGGCTAAGTAATAGTCCCATTCATTGAATTATGTATTTTCCTTCCTGTTATAGCAACTCCCCGACTCTTATAATAATGAAGTTATATTTGGCATTCTGTAGGCTGCCTGGTTTCTGTGGACAGGGATGCCACAGTGTTCATGTCTGGAGTCACTGTGAAAGAACGGCTCACTAGACACATTCAGATATTTGTGGCTAAATGTGCTATTTATTTATTTATTCATTTATTTGCTTCCTTGTTTGCTTGCTTGCTTACTTTGCTTGCTTTTTGACAGAGTCTGGATATATAGTTCAAGCTGGTTTTGAACTCATGATCCTCCTGCCTTAGTCTTATCTGTGCTATGATTACAGCCTTGTGTCACTAAGCCAGACTTTAAGTTTAGGGCTTTTGAAGACAGAAAGCATCCAAGTGTGCCCATCTGGTAGACTTAGCAAGTAAATTTAAACATGTTCCCCCAGGAAGCTTTTTTTTTTAATGCAGTTATTACTATGAAAAGATTGTTTTAGTTGGTAAACCTGGAGAGATGGAAAAGCTTTACTCCCTGGCGGCTCAGCCAGCCTTCTATTGCTTTGAGTCTTGTGACCTGTGTGGTTGGATAATGCTTGCCACCATAACCTGCCTTTTAGAGTTAGCTTATTTTTAATTTTGTTGACTGGGGAGATAAAAGATTTTTTAAAAGTTTTGAAAGATTATGTGTGTGTGTGTGTGTGTGTGTGTGTGTGTGTATCGTGTCTGTGTGCGTGCACATGTGCGCCTTCATGAATTTATGTGCACCATGTATGCAGGTGCCTGAGGAGGCCAGAAGAGGGCGTCAGATAGGCCTGCACTCATTTACTACTGTACTTCTCCTCCTCCCCCTCTCAGCAGTTGAAAACCTATAGTTTTTAAGCTCCTGTGTGTGTAGTGCTTTCATCTATATGGTGACCTAGCACTGGGGTCCTGGGTCATCATTCAACGCTTGCTGATTGACTCTCCTCGGTGTTCACATGGCATGATGTGTTAAAGGCACAGTCATTGAACGATGCTTTTGATGTGTTTGTGTTTTCTCTCCCCTTCCCTTTCTCTCCCGCACCCTCTCCCCCCCATCCCTATCAGGGATCAATCTCAGGGTCTATGCATGCAAGGGAAGTACTCTACCACTGAACCACACTCCCAGCCCCTTACCTCCCCTCTTTAATTAGCGAGCTCAAAGTGTCTTAGACAAGTGTTTAGACTCTTGTTGTTTTAGCTCTTTTGAAATGAGAGAGTGAAGTCTTCAGGGCGGCAGAGGATGGGACTGGTACCCCTGCTTTCTCATGGACTTTGATGTTCTTGGATGAAAGGTGGTACATAAATACAAAGCATTATTAATGTCACAATTTGAATATTTGGCATGATAAAGGCCAGGCTATAAAGAAGCTTGCAGGCTGCTTTTTTAGCTGACTGCGGTTTTTCCCAGTTGATACTTGCACTTTGTCAAATTAGTCTAATTCCTTGATTGGGGCCTCATTGTTTGTTTTCGGTTGGTTTTTTCTTTGTTATGGTGGGGATTGAACCTAAGGCCTCACGCATGCTAGGCACTTTAGCACAGAGCCAGCCACGCCCTCAGCCTCACAGTTGATACTTGCTCTATCAACCCCCTCAGCCCCAGTGTGCTGATGTTTCTTCCTTGTTTACTTTCAGCCTTTCAGTGGAATGTATTTGAACAACAAGGAGACAGGGATGTACCATTGTGTGTGCTGTGATAGCCCACTCTTCAGGTAAGACGAAGAATAAAAAGAGATCTTAGATAAATAAATACTTCTGAAGTTTTCTTACTCTCAGTGCTGAAGATTGAACCCATGGACCCACTGTCTGCTACCACCAAGATCCCCCCAGGCCCCAGGGGACCATAAATTGCTTTTGTCCTTTGTTATTACTGTTGGAAGGAGAGCTGTTCATGGAGGAGATTTATCTGTCTTGCTTTTTCCCTGACATTGAATGCAGCTGACAAGGCTTCTCAGCTTATGGTTTTGCTTTATGTATCTCTAAGAGAGAGCAAACAAATTCTGATGGGGACTTCATGATAAAGCCATTAGAATTTTTTAGAGGAAAAAGTATTTAAAGAAATCAAAACCCTAATAGTATTTGCTTGGCCATATGATTAAAACTATACCTCTCCCAGGGAAAATGGGTTTATAATTTAATTTAGCAAAGCAGACTTTTATGAGGCTTGATGCCCCCACAGTGCTTGACAGAAGCGAATACCGTGCCCTCTTCTATGTAGCTAAAAGTAAATTTAATTGTCCCTTGATTTCAAAGCCTCTTTTAAGTCAATCAGCATCTAAAATCTTTCAACAAAGGCTTTTTTTGTTTAGATATGCAGGAAATAGTCTTTAAAAAGTAGATTCTAGGAAGAAGAAAGGAAAACATCTTTGAAGTCTTGTTTTTCAGAACTTCAAAGATGTTTTCCTTTCTTTTGCATCAACCTTAAATTGGTTTAGAATAAAATATAAATCAAGCCAGCTCTGCGAATCTTCCATTAGGCAGAGCCTCCTCTGTCCTTTGGGCTTTCAGCAGCCTGGCTTTTTGGCCAGCTGGCTGCTGATGTGGGCTGCGTTAGGAAGCCAGACCTTCCTGAAAGGACAGGCGTGTGTAGGATCGATTTCCCTTCGTGCTCAGGAGGCCAGGCTATGGCCCAGGCACATCCGAGATGGTGAGAAGCTATGTGGAAGAGCCCACTGCCAGCCACCAGGCCAGGAGTGCCAAGGAAGACCAGAGCGAAGTTAGCAAATGAAGTCATTGCTTCTACAGTAATGTTGGAAGAACACATGACTTCCCCTGCCACATCACAGCAGTCAATATAGACTTCTGTAATCTCAAGAGTTTGTGTGCATTTGTGAGCCTGTGTGTGAGCCTGTGTGTGTACAGGAGCACAGGAAACCGGAGCTGCCCCTGCAGTTGAAGTTACAGGCTATTGGGAGCTGTCTGACACGTGGGTGCTGTCAACCAGACCCATGCCCTCTACACGAGCGTGGTGTGCTCTTAACCACTGAGCCATCTCTGCACCTCTGAAATCAAGAGCTGTGAGGCCTTTTGTTCACCAGCAAGCAGTCAGTTCTCTCAGCAGATGCAGGCTGGGGGCATCCTCCATTTAAGTTCAGTACTGATCTTGTCTACTTGGTGACAGAGGCAGATCCCACAGGTAGACAGCTCAGTCCCCACGTCCTATACTCTACTTCTGATGCCAAGCGTATTCTCCTGGTTGTGACCTGTGCTTCTGACCAACCAGCTCTTAAATTGGGCTTCCTACATTCCCTTGTGCTCCCTGTTTTCCTTTGAGCAATACACGGAGCTCAGCGAAGCTCTCACGTTTGCCAGTTTACTGGAAGGTATCACTGTTATTGAAAGACAGAGTTAAAGAGAAAAATAGAACAGGTTCAAGGGAAGGATACAAGGTTCCATGCTGTCTCTGGGAAAATTCTCTAGAAGCTCCAGGAGTTCAGTTACCCAGAAACTCCCAGACCCTGCCTCCTTTTAGGTCTGACAGAGGCTTCATTCCAAAATCATGATCATGAGCTTCCGGCTCCCTTCCCTGAATGTTGGGGGGGTGGGGCTGAAAGTCCCAACATTCTAATCACACTTTGGTTACGAGGACCCATCCTGCATTGAAATAGAGGGCTGCCATCCATCAGTTGAGGTATTGTACTACACAAAGATACTGTTCTTTCGAAGATTTTAAGAATTTTGGGAGTTCTGTGTGGCAGAAAATGGCAGAAAGAACGAAACGTGCCGTTCACAGAATCGCGGCAGTAAAGTGTGAGACTCAGGTTTCAGAGCAGTTAGCTACTTCTTCAGCACCATTTTTGTCAGGACGTTAGGTTGATGAGCTTGCTTTCAACTGGAAGATATTGTAATGGTACTACATTCTTATTATTTGGCTGCTGGGCAGGTGTCCTGTTTCTCCATATGGAAGATGAGAAGTTGTTCTTGTAACACACTCCTAATGTCTAATCTCTAAGGTTCCATTGACTCGGGATTGGTGTCCTGGTTTCTGTACATTTCCAGAAGAGGTCTTCCCACTGTCCAGGGGCTCCTCTCCCCTCACCATACAGGCTTAGTCGTAGCATCACAAATTAGGGGAGCAGATGGGGCAGTGGAGGGGTCTGGGCAGCACGGGGCTTGCTGTGGCGAAGGACACACTCTTCCTCTATAGCAGATCTCCATAGAAGCTCCAGGTTACAGGCAGCTGTTGGGCATCCAGAGTACAGTCATTGTGGCTGAGAAGCTGGACTTGTTATGATTACAGTTTTGGAAAATTTAAGCTTAAGGGGCCACGTGTGGCCAGTGGCTTCTGCATTAACACAATGCTAGTTCAAATTAAGAAAGTTATGTGATCAAACCTGATTCACAGAGAAATAGCCCAGATCCATAGGCAACCCAATCAATATTCTGAAAGCCTGTTTATCAAGTGGCTGGTTCACTGAACTGGCAGTTAGTTCAGGAGTCTTTATTATTGCTTTTCTGCCCTTTTAGTTTTAAATGTAAAGTTTCCCCTTTCTTTTCCTTCCTTCTTTCTTTCTTTCTTTCTTTCTTTCTTTCTTTCTTTCTTTCTTTCTTTCTTTTTTTCTTTCTTTCTTTTCTTCTTTCTTTCTCTTTCTTTCTTTCTTTCTTTCTTTCCTTCTTTCTTTTCCTTCCTTCTTTCCTTCCTTTTCTTTCTTTCTTTTTTCTCTTTTTTTAAGAACTTTTGAATTTTTGCTGATGAAGAAAACAAAAATACATCTATCTACCTTCTCATTACTATACTATGAATATAGCCATATAGCTTCCTGTTACTATAATAAATACAGGAACTAGTTAATTTATGAATAAGAAGGTTATCTTGGCTCACTGCCTTGGAGGTCTCATTTTTTATGGCAGTAAAGCAAAGCCCCAACTGCATGGCCAGGAGCAAAGGAGAGGAAGAGGAAAGAGCCAGACTCCCACAGTCTCCTTCAGGTCCACTGACTTAAAGACTGTATGCTAGACTCCATCTTTTAATAGTTTCTCTCTTGCCAGTAGGACCAAGGCTTTTAACACACGGGCTTTAGGGGGCATTTAACACCAAATCAAACAAATCATAATAATCATTTCCATTCTAAAACACACTCTTCTTAAAGAACATGCATTTATAGGGTGTGGTGAAGGCTGTCTGGGTGTCTGTATGTGTTTAGGGTCTGTAAGAAAGTTGCCCATCATCCTTATATCAATTCTTCCTATTGCTGAGACAGAACATCTCATCCAGTTTTTACTGAGAAATTTATTTTGGGCCAGGCCTCAGGAGGCTGGGAAGTCTGAGGAGATGGTGCCACAGCCTCTTGGGTTCTAGTGAGGGCTTGGTGCTATTTCAAAACAGCGAGAAGGCCAAAGGGTGAACAAACACGGTGGAAATAAACAAAACAGAAGGATAGTCTTGTGTTTTACCAACCAAAGAGCTTGTTTTACCAACCAGCTCTCTTGTTAGGAAACCAAGTCCTGTGAGAAAGAACTTCAGTGTTCCCTCTTAGGACCCAGTCATCGGTCAGCACTGCCATGTGACAATGAACTTTCAACTTGAACTGAAACTGTGTTCAGACCCTAGGAGTGACCCATGTAGTAAGTGTTAGCAAGTAGCTCCAGGGTCACAGGAACAGGAAGTGCGTCAGTACTAAGGCACTGCCTGCGAGATGGTTTGCTGTGTGCGCCCTCACTTCGGCAGACCTCTCAGTGGCTCTCCGTAGTGGTCTCATTTCTTGGGAGGTACAGAGGCCCGGCAAGGTTGGATGGTTTACCCAGGATCCCATTGCAACTAGCCTTACACTAGGCCACACTTTACTATCCAGGTCTCAGTAAGTTGCGTCTTACTCTAGTGTCTTCACCGTCTGGTGCTATCATTCCAAATCCCAGCAGTAGGACCCTAGGCAGACACTCTCAGGCTCTAGAAGGTACATCTGTCCAGCTTCCTCCACAGGCTCCCTTTCCAGAATCTGGTCCCCAGCCATGTCTGACAGAGCTCCCTCATCCCTCTCATGGTTCTGCTTTGTTGCAGTGAGTGGCGTCTCTTCCTGGGGTGCTTCCCTCTAGTCTGAGAACTTGAGTGAGGGTTACCAAACCAGCAACACTTTCCAGCTTGCTCCCCTACAGACCCAGCTCCAGGATCATCTTGTTAACCCGAGACTCTGGTGACACTGGTCTGCCCCCTGCCTTCTCTACCTTTCTTCTTTGCTCCCTCAAGCTGTTTCTGGAAGGGTTTATTAAATTGTGTCCATGCCAGGATGGTGGGGCGTATCTGCAATCCCAGTGACCAGGAAGCAGAGGCAGGAGGATCTAGAATTTAAGTTGCCAGACTGGGTTACACAGTGAGACCTTACCTAAAGAAAACTATTTCAAGATTATGTACTTTATGATCATAAGTCTTCTTAAAATAGTAGCATTTGGGAGCCTGATGCTAGTTTGTTTTTTTCTGTATTGTGTTCTGGTGTCCTGCATGTCCCAAGTAACAAGGTAATATTATTTAAAACCTCGTGTATCCTTGTTCAGAAATGAATGTGAGTGCTTCCCAGTTCCATTTAGAGTTATCATTGACTACCCACTGCTTCTGCTGTTGTTTCTGGGGCTGTGGGATATCCAGAAATGAGGGGGGAAATAAACATGGGAGAACAAGGCCAAAAAACAAATGAAGAAAAATACAGAACAAAGCTTGGAGTGTATGATCCAGAGTGGCCTCAGTATGAGAGGAGTGAGCCATGTAACCTGCTAATCAATTAAACATGTACCTAGTTTGCTTTCATATATACACTGTCGGTCTTAGATGATGTATCTTGGGCTTTATATTACTCGGTAAAATCTCCAAGTTTCTGCCAATTCCATCAGTAAAGGTTTATTGTTTCCCATAAAGCCCTTAATGACTTTTTATTAGCCTTAGATTCATTTGTCGGTTTGAAAAAAAAGCTTTATTGCGTTCATAATTCTCTATCAAAATTCTTTTAATGGTTAGTAGTGTATATAATGCTGGGGGGTGGGAAAAGGATGCGAGGTGCTTAGAAAACTGAAGTAGTCAGGTGAATTGCCTCCCGCCCCACCCGCTATGCACACCAGACAGGCATCCCAGTGCTAAGCTGCCCCAGTCCCATGGGGCATTTAACTGGGATCAGAAGACCTGGAAGAGAGAAATGAAGGACGGGGGCACAAAGAACGACAGCTTGTCTATAGGCTGACTAAACCGTGTTTTTAATTTTTTTCACACAGGGGTTATATACACATAGAGGCAGGATGTGGGGAAGGGGATGACACTGGACCGTAGGTATTCTCAGGGGGAGTACAAATATCTTCCAGAACAGGGTTTTGGCTGGGTGAAGAAGCAGGGAACAGGTCACTTATGACTGTCTTTGATTCACTTGTTCTTATCTAAGCTGGCACTTTCCACCAAGGCTACCTATCCACAAGGTCTATGACTACCTGTTCCCATCCAGGCTGGTAGTTTTCCACCGAGGCTGCCTGCCTACAAGATCTACAGCTATCTGTTCTAGGGTCAGTGTTTTCCCACAGAGACCAAGACTTTGTGTTAGCAGGCATGTATGTCTGACTTAGGCCTATGGCTGACTTTAGGCCTTCAGTGTATAAGCAAGGCTGCTCCCAACACTAAGCTGCAACAGTAATCTCAGGTGAAGCTAACCCAAATGTGCAGATGCTTCCAGCTGGACTCAGGGCTGCTCAAATTCCACACCCACCTCTTATTGGCAAAATTACTAACAAAATTTAAAAAGACTGACAGCATCTTCCATGATCAGGCACTATTCTAAACATACACATACCAAAACACCAAGGGATTCTGCTTAACAACCCTGTGAGGTGAGGATCCCTCTGTTGCCCCATCCTCCCTGAGCTGATGGCATCAGAGGATCAAAAAGCACTGTAAGGACACGGCCGTAATGGAGTGTAGCTTCCACAAGGTCTTTTGGAAGTTAAGCTGTCACTACAGAGATTTCTCAAATAGAAGCCCAGGATATCTCTAGGGGAACAAGGAGGTGCTGAAGCTTGAAGCCCAGACCTTCTGCTTGCTAAGTAGATAGATCCTCTACCATTGCTCTTCATCCCACTCCAACCCCTTCTTCATTCTACAGTTTAGTTAGAACAGTCTGGAGGCAGAGTGAATGGAGAGACATAGATCAGGGTTTGCTTTAATGCTTTAGAAACGGACAATAAAAATATTTGGAAAATTGTGAAATAATGAAATCCTTCTCATGAAACTTGGTTCAATTAAGAAAACATAACAGTCACAAAATGTCTGTTAACACATAAAGAATTTATTACTTTTTGTTGCTTTTTTTATTTATTGCTTTTTGAGACAGGGTTTCTCTGTATAGCCTTGGCTATCCTGGAACTTACTTTGTAGGCCAGTGTAGCCTGAACTCATAGAGATCTGCCTCTCTCTGCCTTCTGAGTTTTGGGATTAAAGGTTTATAACCACTACCCAGCAAGAATTTATTACATGGTGATATGAGCTTATAATCCCAGCACTTGAAAAGCTGAGGCAGGAAGATTCTGAACTCAAGGCCATCTTGGGCTACACAATGAAGCTGTCTCAAAAAAAAAAAGTACTATAATACTTACGTACTCTAAAATTCCAAGTCATGTTTCTAAACTTAATGAATATTAGTATTTATGACCCATACTAAAGTATTCAGGTTATAAAGTTAATAGTTTAGGAGACAGAAGAGTCCTGAGACCAAAATGTTTGAGACCGTATCATCTGTCCCTGTCCCTGATGACCTCTGTGTTCAGCTGAGCTAGGAATTCACTCATTTCTTGTCTGCTTAGTTTAAGGCAAGATTCAACTTCAAAATGTTTCTTTCTTAGGTAGAGGGGATCATCTCTATGCTGTCTGAAATTTTCTCTGTTTTCCCAATGTTGCTTACAGACCCTTTCCTGTGTGAGTTCTAAGATTATTAAGTCTTTCTTTTGGGATGATGCTAAGAATCAAACTCAGGACCTTGCATGTGCCAGGCTCTGCCACTGAGCTGGAACCCGCTCCTGAGGGTGAGGTGTTCTGGGAGCAGGTCTCCAGCAGTCCTCTTGCCTCCTCTCCTCAGCCCCTTAGCCCACTCCAGCAATTAGCACTGTTCGTCCCAGGAGACCAACTCAAGCATCAGGCTCCATCTAGCGATGAATCCGAGTGCCAGGCTAATTGACTAATGACAGTAATCATGATGAATGCTCATGAGAACCTGCCTCACCTCAGCTTCCCACCTGGCTCCATGGAGGAGTCTTCTTGACGCCTCAAAGTATCCCCACAAGGCAGGTGCTGTTGACCCCAGTGAGGAAGCCACGTCCTCAGGAGTCCGAGTGGTTTTCTACCTTCACACCCCTAAGTAGCATGTAGAGTGGTATGTGAGGCTCTCATTCTCCAGGGCAGACAGCCTGTGTTCTGATAATAGAAATTTCCCTTGCTACAGACTTCTGCTTCATCGGGTCTTGTGCTGATGTGCCCCATCATGTAGACCCTACCCCCAAACACTGTCCTTCCTTTTCAGTCTCTTCCTTTTCTGCCTTTGGAGTATGTACACTTGATCTGTGGATCCTCATATGCAAATGATTTCACATAGCCTTAGTCTTTCTGGTTCTTTTAGGTCAGATATAGAGCCATTAGCATTCAAAGAACAATACTTCATTTCACTATGGCCAGACAATATCTTGAACAGCAAAGGGACAGCAGGAATAATTCCCTGGAACTGACTCTTCATGAAGCCCAGCTTGAGACCTGGCAGAAGGAGTGGCAGAAGGAGTGGGAGTTGGGTCTTGCTCAGAACAAGGGAATGGGACCTAAGAAACTGCTATTACGCTAACACCCATGTGTAATGGCCTTGGGTCCGCACTGTCTTCTAACGCTGTGGGTCTGTCTGCACTGACTCCCACAGTTCTGAGAAGAAGTACTGTTCTGGCACTGGCTGGCCTTCATTTTCTGAGGCTCATGGCACAAAAGGCTCAGATGAAAGTCACACAGGGATCCTGAGATGCCTGGACACTTCCTTAGGATGTCCTCGCATGGAGGTGGTCTGCAAGCAGGTGATGTGTTTTGCTTTTCTTTGTTTTCTCTGAAAGGGAAGGAACTGTCCTTTCCTTGGTGCCTGTCTTGTTCTTCCCTGGTACTATGTCAACAAAATGCACTGGACTCGAATCCACACTTGTAGTGATCCCTCTCTCCCATCCCACCTGGCACTAAAGATGAAGGTGGCATCTCTCCACCCTGTTCCTGCTTGACATCATGCCATCAACAGACAGAGACATCAGCATCTTACTCCTTCTGGGAGCCTGGGGAGGGAGGCTAGGATCCAGACAAAACTTGGCTTTGTATTTTATTATTATTATTGTTATATTTATGATTATTATTATTATGTGTGTCACATGTGTGAGCGTGCATGCATGCACAAGCACCACTGTACATATGAGGTGAGGAGGTCTCAGGAGTCAGTTTTCTCTGTCTACCATTGTGGCTACTGGGGATTAACTCACTCAACTGCTTTTTATCTGTTTAGACCATCTTGCCAGCCCAAGGAAACTGGTTTTTATACTGTTTCCTGATGCATGGGCTTTAGAAATTGGCAGAGGCTAGCAAATGGAAAGGGCTGAGTTTTGTCTGCAGGAAAGAAAAGTGGTTATTGAGCACTCACTCAGACTGTATTAATCCTTACCCCCCTTGTGTTCATTTGTCTTCATGATGGCTCCTTATTAATGTCCCCGTTTGTCAGATGAACAAGTCAAGGCCTCAGTTTAATCACTTGCCCACATGCTCCCTGGGGAAGTAGGACTGCTCACTACCACAGCTCTTTGTGTATATCCGTTTGTCCATTTTGAACCAAAGTCTAATGCAAAAGGCCAGCTTCCCAGCTGCCAGGCTCTGGGACGTGGCAGGCCATGTGGGGCTGTCTTCCCGGAGAGTGACAAAGGTGTTGTCTCTCCCCCGCAGTGTGAAGCCCACCTTGGCCATGTGTTTCCTGATGGACCTGAGCCCACTGGCCAAAGGTTTTGCATCAACAGTGTGGCCCTGAAGTTCAAACCAAGCAAGCCCTGACTGTCTGCAGAAGGCCTGTGCTTTGCCGCTCCTCGTGAAGCCTTGGTTCTGTATCTCAGATGGATGCATTGCTTTGTTTGCTGAAAGTTTAGGTGAAGGTTGTTACTGGCCACAGGGGAATCACAGCTTCCTAGTCACCTGAAAACAACTCAACCTGACTTCCACTTGGGCCATGGGCTTTCAACTGGCTGCCAAGGCTTTGGGTGAGACCACAGGGTGGGACCCAGGAAGAACTTCCACAGGCTCACGGGCTGATGAGGGTTCCCAAAACTCCTGAAGGGAACCTGAGTTAGCATCTCAGTTGAGGGCTCAGGGGGAAGAGAACAGAAGAGATAGGATGGACCCGGTGAGAGACCCCAGTGAAGAAGAGGAGGACGGGAGTGGCCGACCATGGGGAACACACACCGTGGTGGATGAGACTTGTAGTTTCTTATCCAAAGCTTCACTGACTCAACCTTAAACTCACAAGTGGGGTCCACGTGAATTGAGTCAATTTTAGCGACTACGAATAATGTTCTCCCTCTGTTCTTTGTTACGGCAGTATAAACTTCAAATATTCAAATGAAATATTGAGATCAATGTTTACTTTTTGTCTCAGTCTGTTAATTTGCTCTTTTAGCAACATGACTCTAAATCAAAATGACAAGAAAAAAATCCAGCAATTGGACACACCGTACAGTAACCATACAGATGTTTTATGAATTGGGAATCCTGGATTGTTAGCAAAAAGTATTTACATAAATCTCTTTGTGTTGTTGGAAACTTAGTCACCCCATTTTCTTCTTGCAGATCTGTTATACATTTTGTGTCATTTCACATACTATCTAGCCTAATTCAAATTATGGCTCACAACCATCTGTAATGGGATCTGATGCCCTCTTCTGGTGTGTCTGAAGACAGCTATAGTGTATTCATATACATTTTAAAAAATGCTAACTTAAAAGGATGCTAGCCCAGAAAACTAATTCCATCACTTTCTGTTACCATTGCCAAGAAACTTAATTATATATACGTGTTGTGAAAGACTAACCTCAAAGCCAAATAACTACCATCTTGGAAGATTCAGTTGTTCAGTCCCTGGAGGAGCGGAGAGGGCCAGGAGTACCTGGGCTGAACCTGCTTGTCTGTTGACGATGCTTCCTGGCTGTTCTTTCTCGTGGGTCTTTTCCCTTTATGCACCATGTGATTCTTTGTAGTTAGTTCTCCTTTTCCATATTTTCATAGGTTCTGAGAATCAAACTCAAGTTGTCAGAGTATGGCAAGTGCCTTTACTCACACAGACATCTCTTCAGGTTAAGATCTGAATAGGTAAGGACAGACTGACACTTCTCATCACCCATCCTACACAGGACAGCAAGCTTCTCTCTGTCACCACATGCTCCTATGGCCCCAGTGCTGCGTCAGATGGTTTTGTCTTGTGTTGTTCTACAAAAGCACTGTCACCTAGAAAGTCCTCGACAGCTAATCTCAGAAGTGGTTATGTAGGACTTTCATTTTGCAGTGTGGCGTTCCTTCACTTCCTACAGGTTGTGTTGTTTAGTCCACCTAAGCTTGAAGAGTGAGCTCAATACAAGGCCTAAGACACGCTCTCATGGTAAGGATGGTGGAGCCTCAGTCTGCAGGCTGCACAGTGGCTCCCTAGGGGCTTCTTCCTGAAGGTCCTGGGCATGTCGCAAGCCACCATCCACTCAATCAATCTTAAGTAAGCCTATCTTTAAAAAGATCCCAATGGCTTCATAGGTGACTGTGGCCTAACTCAGCTTTGATGTAGGCCTTAGACACTATGAATTAGGGAAACATAGTGTAATAATAATATCAAAGACTTTGGTCTCAGAAAAAAACAATAAGACCACATAATGGTTTTAATAACAAAGATTTATGTAATTTAGTATAAGAATAGAGGTGTGTTTAGGTTTTTTCTTATGACAAAATATCTGACATAAATGAATTAGGAGCAGGAGAGAAGTATTTTGGCTCATGGTTTCTGAGGATTCAGTCCATGCTGGCAGCAGAAATGTGTGGTAGGGGCCATTGGCCTTCCCACACAGGATGTGGCTAGAGCAATAAAAGAAGGAGCCACAGCAAATACAGACTCAGGCACACATTCTCAGTGTGTCTCTGAGTCACCTCAGTGCCACACCTCAGCATGGCACTCACCTCCAAAGTAGATGTCACCAGTTAGGGACCTAGGCTTCAGAACATGATTCTGTGGGAAGCACCTTATTTTTGAAGCATGACGTAATAGGAAATTTAAATTACCACATGCTCCACAGAGCTCACTGGGCGTGGTTGGAATGCATAATTTTTGCAGAAAGTATTAAAGTTCCTGTAGAAAGTGTTGGGTTATAACTGAGCGCTAGAGATGATGCCAAGCAAAGCATGTGTGAAGCCCTGGATTCAGCCCTCAGTAACACTGTCTCACGGTTGCTGTCACCAACTGACTCCATGCTGGGGAAAATGTAGAAATATGTTGTTTCAAGCTTTTATAACCTCTGGGTGTTCTCTGTCTCTGTCTCTCTCTGTGTGGCTGCCTCTCTTTCTCTGTGTATGTATATATGAATATGAATATGAATATGTGTGTATGTGTGTATGTGTGAATGTATATGTGAGTGTGTGTATGTATGAATGTGTATGAGTGTACGGATGTGTGAGTGTGTGAGTGTATGTGTGTGTGATGTTTGCTGAGGTGGAGAGTGAAGGAGGAAGAAACCGGGGTATCTTTCCTTTTGTTTCTTTTTTCTTTTTTTGTTTGAGACAGGATCTCACTCTGGGTTCTCCAGCCCTGTTCTAAGGAGCAGGAGGGATGTGGCCTGGCCAAGGTGTTTGGTCCTGGCAGCCTCCTCGCTTCCTGGCCCTCGCTCTCCCCATCTTCGAGAGTGTCCCGCCTCCTCCTGGGGCTGTGTAGTGATCGGTCTGAGTCTGTGAAGCTATCCCAGACATGGTCCTGGTGTCTCAGAGTGCTGGATGCCCTTCAGTCTAGCCCTCCATCCTCTTCCCTCCAAGTCAGGAACAAAAGAATAATTCATGTTGCATTTCGATGCTGATTATGGGCTGGTACGAGAGGAGAGGAGGTATTTCCAGTAATGGGAGTATTTGGCTGATTGGTAACTGTTTACAGACGTGTATCTTTCTATGGTATACCCCTTGAAATCATTTTCTTTGTAAATGTTAAAAGCCACAAGAAAAAACCCAACAACCCTGATCACTCCTCTTTGTACTTCAATCAGCAGCGTGTCAGCGGCTGAATGGACTGTAATTCCTTCACTGTGCCTGTCAAGGAGAACATTTAGGCCACGTTTTTAAAAATATCTTGGTAGGGGTCTCGAGAACAATTAGCAATTAAAATAATCCATTTTCTACATTTTGCAATATAAACAGGACTGCGTGATTGACTTCACAGTCACGGGTGCTGCTCTGCCCAGAGCATCCTGCTCGCTCTCCCCAACTCTCAGACACATCGGCGGCGGCGGGTGCCTTAAGTATGGCAAGGCAGCCGTCAGCCGCTCATTCGTGCATCGTTAGCTTCAGGATACAACTTGATGCCTTCTCCAGAGAATGTGCTTCTGAACATAACCAAAGCCTCATTGCTCAGGGCTGGCTCGGTAAGAAGCCACTTGGCCAGAGACCACGGCAGCTGAAGAGCTATGACACATACCTGAGACTAGCAATTTAAAAAGTGGAAAGGTTTGCTCGGGGCCATAGTTTTAAAGGTCACTGTCCATGGTAGGCAGTTTCATGGTTTCTGAGGCTGTGTTGAGGCAGATCATGGAACAAGGGCATGGTGGGCAGAGATGCGCACCTCATAGCTTGGAGAAAACAAGACTAACAGAAAGTGGAGTTAGCTGGAATAGATTCTTCAAAAGCACAGCCCCAGTGTCGTCCTTCCTCCAAGTAGGCTTTATCTCCCTACCTCCCTATAGCACATTTGGTTTAAGCTCCTCAACAGAGTAGCCCACCGATGATGCTAGTACCTGTGTTATCTGTCTTAATACAGGCACATTTCATACATGAGTCATAACACTGGATCTCTCAGGCCCCCAATGATAGCACATGATGTGCTTTGTCTATCGATGCTATCACACTTGGGCTATAGGAACAAACTCAGAAACCACAGTGAGATGCAGACAGCAGAAAAGGAGGAATCAGCATGCTCAAATTCTGAACTTCCAAGATAAGGAAACTGAATCCTAGAGAGCTCAGCCAAACAGTGACGGCCACACCCCCGGGGCTGCAGAGTCCTCACCTGAGCCTCTGCTCGCACTGTTTTATGGTTAGAAATTGGGTTAGGTAGTTCCTGTGTGGGGGAAAGCAAGAAGTAACATTTGCAAAATCAGTTCGGAAGTAGGTCTGATTTCACAGAAGAATGGACTTGAAGGGGTGGAATGGCCTTCTTGAGGCCACAGTTATATCCAAGACGCTCTGAGAGCTTCAGAAAATGAGATGATGTTCTTCAGGCTACTCTCCTGCTTCACTTGATTCAACATCTGCCTCTTTGGAGGTCAAAGACTGGGTAACAGGGCTAGAACCTTGTAGCAGGGTCAGGACTCGGATGAGGCAGACAGGCATCTTCCTCTAACAAGATCCTTCCAGTTGGTATCCTCGGCAGCTGACTATCTCTTTCCTTTCTCTGCAGGGCATCTGACAGACACGGGGCAGTGAACTGAAAGCAGGGAGGCTGAGGTGGTGTTGGCCCGAGAGAGTTACCAAGATAAAGTGAGAAGGAGAAGAAATTGTCCCTGGCAGGAACTTAGCCAAGGTGGCCATTTCCACATGGACCTAAGGCATTTGCCAGTCCTGGAGCTCATGTTAAACATTAAACTGTCTTCCTGGACAGGAATAAAAGGAAGGCAGCATCTCTGCCTGGTTTCTCTGTCTTTAGAGTAAGGGAACCTCAAGGAATCCTAGCAATGGAAAACAACCCAAAGGTCTCTTGTTGCTAAGATAAATGAAGGTTCTGAAAAGTGGGCTGGAAAGATCCAGAAGGAAACTAAGCTCACCATCATGGAGCACCTGGGGTCACGTGATCTGACTCTGCCATGGATCGTGAGCGTCCAGGAATCTCCACAAGTAATTTGCACTTAACAAGTGGTTCTGGGCTGAAGGGATGTGCAAAGCCTTTGTTACATCAATGTAAAGATTGAGTCTGGATCCGCAGCACACGGTTGCAATCTCAGAGCTCCTGGTTCGAGGTGGGAGGCAGAGACAGGAAAATCCTCAGTGGCAAACAGTAGCAAGCAACAGACCCTACCCAGGCAAGGCTGAAGGCTAGGACTCACACCCAAGGTTGTCACCTGACTCCCAAGCATGTGCTCCCCAGGGTGCATCTAAACAAACAAACAAACAGAAGAAAAAGTAGTTTTAATTTACTTTACTTAAGAATAAACCAGTAGATGGTTCATGACATAAGATAGCCAAATGTTGAAATGACTGTAAAAAATAAAGTTTATGCATGTGTCTTTGAGCAATACTTCTAACTCACCATGAGGGTTCTTTTTTAAACATGGGAGTAACATTTATATGTTATAGGACTATTTTCTACACTTGTATTTCTTAGAATTTTCTAGGTAGTATTTCCAAAATTCATTAAAATCATTCTGCTCTTCTTGTTTAACAACATTTTCCATGAATTTAATTTTCTATATAATTCCTGAATAAATCTTTGATAGAAAATCCATCAAAATGAATCTTTCAGGAGACTGGAGAGACATCTTGGCTGGGTAAAATTTTTTGCCGCATAAAATACAAACCCTGTTTCCAATTTCCAGCACCCAGACAAAAGACAGTTGTGGTGATGCTTACATAGGATCCCACCACTGTGGGTGGGGGTCAGAGGCTCACCTGGCCTTGCTGGCCAGCCAGTCTAGATGAATAGGTATTTGAATAAGACTCAAAAAAAATAAGGTATCTCAGAGGAATTGAGGAAGACACCTAACATACATGTGCAGGTCTGAATATTACTAAACAACAGGGACAGCCATGTAGAACGCTTGTGGCTAGTGCTATGCTTGCTGTTAGTGCAGCCGAGAACTTCTAAAACGAGTCCTCATGTTTCTGTATCTGTCTGCTTCAAGGATTCCTATGGGGACCAGTGCTCAGCAGCACAAGGGATGACCTCCATTCTTCTGCTGGCCTCTTGGATGAGACTTGAATCATCCAAAGAAGAAACTCTCCATAAGACACATGTTGGAAACTGGAAGCAGACAGAATGGGCTCTTCTTGAGACACTTCAGGGAGATTGACACATCTTGGAAGGAGAGGGTAGGTGATAGGACAGCCTTGTTGTACATACTAGCAAAGATGGTGGCTGGGATACCCAGAATTGATGTCCTCACAGAAGTGTCTCAGTGTGGCAGTGAGAACCCATGGGCATGTGTCAGTGTTAGAGATCCTGAACCATGGGGAGCTTGGCATGGAGGAAAACGTGGGTCTTGCCTCTGTGTTGACTGTGGCTAGGGGCTGTCTTTGAGGTCTTTTTCGGAGACACCCCCCATACACACATACAATGAGCTTTGCAGCTAGGGGCTGTCTTTGAGGTCTTCTTTGGAGATACCCTCCCCCACACACACACCACACACAATGAGCTTTGAGACATAAGGACAGATATGCCCTTCTTGGACTGTGTCTGCTGTAATTTGAGCATTAAAAGTGAGCCATACCCCTGATCATGCATCATTCCCCATGACTCCAATCCTAATAAGAGGAAACTTTCCTTGTCACTTTCTTGTAGTTTCTGTAGTAAGAAAATTATAGAAAGTTAGAACTCGGTCGGGGTATTAATTCTCACCCACGAAACTTGCAAATAAGTAAAAGTAAGACAGCAGTGAAGTCATGCATGTATTGCCAGGCATAAGGCCATGTGGTGCAACCTCAGTGTAGAGGGATTTCACTTCTAGGAACTGGTATCACAGACACATTGGCAAAAATATGCAAAAGAGAGTTGAAAAGATATTTACTGCATTCTTGCCTGTAAACTCAAAAGCCTGGAAGCCATCTGTGCAGTCACAAGTAAGTGAACATTGTCTGATTATGAAAAGAAAAGTAGCCTAGGTCTGCGGATCGTCGTGGCATGAATCCCGAGACCTGCTACGTGAAAGAGATTGGGGAGATGGGTAAGTGTGTGCAGTAGAAATGCTCTCATCAAAGAAGGGAACCTCCTGCAATAAACCACAGAGGTTTGTCTCTAACCATGGGGATGCTTTATGTAATTATACAACAAAATTAACTTTAAAAAAGCAATCCTCAAGCCATTAAGAGCAAATTATCCCAAGTTTTAGTGGAGAAACCACACTAAGGGGACTACTTGTAAGTAGTGTTCAATCATACTCTTTTTCAGTGGACACAGAGACGAGGAAAATCTCACAAGGCCTTCCCCTAGATAAAGAGCTACAAGCAACCAATGGCTGCTTAGAGAAGTGTAAAGGTAACTTTTATTCACTTAATTCAATCGTCATCTCCAAGGCTTACTCACTGCCTCTGTCTGCTGACCTAGGCCTGCTCCTGGAAGCTTCTAGCCTTCCTACAATTTTATCTAGGCCCAGAATATTTTCAGCCTCTGAGACTCACTGTTTAATATGCTCACCATTTCCTAGTTCTTTCTGATCTTCAGCTGGCTGATTCACCTCAGCTGTTCTGGCTCAGACTCCTCCCCAGGCTGACTGATTCCATTCGGCTTCTCTCTTGGCCTCTCCTGAATGACTCTGCTTGGCCTCTCCTGAATGGCTCTGCTTGGCCTCATACTATCTTTGGCAATCTGTTCTAATCTTCTGACTCTTCCTCATTCTCTGGCTCATTTTGTCTTCACCTGTGTCTAGCTTGTTCTCTCTGCAACCTGACTTTTCACAACTGTCCCAATAAAACGAACTCCTTCTTTTCTGTACTGCCCCTTAAGTAAGTAGCTTCCCTTTCCTCTCCTCATGAGACTTGAGCATATCCCATTCTGTCAAATCTTTCTCTGTTTCATCACTTTTTCTGCCACTCAATTAGACATCACTTTCAAACATGGTACTTCCTTCTACAAACTAAATTTACCTTCATTGTTTGGGATTGATGGTGGGTTTTAAGGGTGGATCTGTATTCCATCCAGAGAGGTTAAAAGTGTGTGATAAAGGCTGAACCACACTAGAAACAGGGTTTATTTTTTTTCCAGTAAAAACACAATTGCAATGTTCACAGTGTGAACAAATATCCTGCAACAAGAGGGAGAATCTGTCTTCTTCAGGAATGAGCTCCCTAATAGGTATTTAACTCAGTGGCCAGCTCTAAACACATGTACATATGAGAAACACTGAATGGACTCTGTAGGGTATAAAAAAGTATAGGAAAAAAAAAGGCCATGAGCTTGAGATAGAGTGGAAAGGGATCAGAGTAGTTGAGAAAGGGAGGAATAGAAATTATGTAAATGCAGTACACATGTATGAAATTCTCAAAAATATTTTTAATTGAGAAAACCATGGGAAGATTTTTGAAGTCCTTTTACTAAAAAAATCCAACATGAGTCTCATCAAGTTCTCACTAGTTTGTAATGGGAGAATCAAGCTGGGCTGTGCTCATTGGAATAATGCTAGCTTTGTGTAACACACACCATGTTCAAGGCTCAGGGTTCCATCCCTAACACAAAAAAAGAAGAGGGATCAAGGGGAGGAGGTAGGAGAGGGCAAGGGGCCACAGGGAGTGTGGAGATAACACAGGATGCAGAGAAATAGAGCAAATGGTCTAACATGGATGTAATTAGAGAAATTACCCAAGACAAACTGCTTTGATTTCTTCAATAAATAATTGTGTGTGTGTGTGTGTGTGTGTGTGTGTGTGTGTGTGTGTATAAAGAAAACAGAGACTTTTCTTTTAAAAAAGGCATAAAATAGTAGAAACCTTACTTGCATTTGGAATTGAACAAACTATAATTTATGGAAGAACTGAACACATTCATATTATGTCTTCATATTATGTACATATTGTGGTATTAAAGACTTATGCATAATGTTTTGTGTAGAATAGTAGTATCGCACAGCTTTGGTGAGTATTCCTGTTGCTTAGAGGTGTATTGCTGTTTGTGGCTGGGATGATATAGCTAGAATTTGCTTTAAGCCATCTGCGTAATGAGACTACCACATACAAATCTAGATAAATGAAGATGGTCCTTCAGTGGCCACTTTAAAGCCAAATGATGGGTTATAAGAGCTCATTACCCTAGCAGTGAGAGACAGCAAATGCACAAATGAGAGCCACAATCACCTAGCTCACAGCCTGTGGCATAGACAGCCAGAGTCCAAGAAGAGATAGGATGCTTTGATCTGAGGAAACAGACTATCATGGAAGACTTGAGTGATCTGATGGTTAGAATCGGCAGAGGGTAAGAGAAAGGAAGCAGCCGGGCTGGATCTGATTGTCTCCATGAGTTGGAACATGTCTCACTGGCCTCAGATGTTACTTTCTCTTCTCTTCTTCATACTGATGATCCCAGTTCCTAACGATACCAAATAATCACTCATATATATATAAAAAAAGAATATGGTATTTTTCCCACTGGCAAAGTGTCACCAGGGCTGGAGGCATGGAACACTGATGCTCATGTACAACACTGTCCCTTCTACAGCCAACAGTACCAGCTTGGATGGGCTTGATCTCCTCTGCTCTCAGAAGCTAAGCAAGGTCCAGCCTGGTTAATACTTGGATGGAGAAGTTCCTCTCCAGTTATGAGAAAGTGGCTTCTCCAGGACTAAGGGGAGGCAGCTGATGGAGGATGTACATGTGGTACCCAGCTGAGATGCTGAAAAGGCCTTGCAGCACACTAATGACAACTCCTGTCAAAACCTAAAATCAAGCCTCCAACAATCTCCTTCCAAACACAGAAATAAATGAGGTTTTAATAAAAGTGGGGACACAAGAAGGTCAGTACAATAGATAATGTTTTCTAATGTTTAATTTTGCCAGAGAGAGAGAGAGAGTGAGAGAGAGAGAGAGAGAGAGAGAGAGAGAGAGAGAGAGAGAGAGAGTTAGTTTTATCAGGGGGTAAAGTGGAACCTTAAGAAAGAAAAGGAATAAATGGCCATAGGAAGGCCTAGATAGCACAGTATCTGCTTCCACTGAGCCAAGGGAAGAACAATGTTTGATATGAAATCCATATTTTCTTCCATCTTCTCATCCCTGAAGTTCAATGTGGTTTACAATACTTTGTCTTAATGTCACATAAAGTAACAAAGCACACAGAGGACTACACAGAGAAACCCTGTCTCAAAAAACCTAAAACAAAAAACAAAACAAAACAAAAACATAAAGTAACAAATCATCTTGCAGTTGACAGTTTGCAGATGGAATGAAATATAGTAGCTCTGTTAAAGTTCAGTGAAAAACACAAGACAAACGGCTGAAAAAAATGAGACAATCATGTGCTGGTTACCCAGAAGTTCAGACTTCTTGTGGTGGGAAACTATCAGAATTTTGGGATCTGGAATGGGGCTCAGTGGTAGA